GCCCTTTAAACAGACGTTGTAACTTCAGTGTTTGTTACTGACTGCCAAGGAGAGCAAGTCACTGCCAGAACAGTTTTTAAGGCATCTCAGGGATGCAAGAAGAGACATTCTTGAAGCACCTCCAAATCCTGGCAATTTTCCTACAGATTAAATGTACATGATCTGATCCTGCTTATGCTAATAAGCTAGACGACTGAGGGATTGCAAGCTATAACTGAGCAGAAAAGCTAGCACACAGCTCCCTGGCTTCCAGAAGAACCAGTATTCTTAGGCCATGCTAAGGACAGCAGTGATGACAGAATCCCAATTGCATCCTTTAGAGAATACGCAGAGATGCTTGGCTCTGGGAAGAGAACGTACAGAGGATACATGAAAACTACTAAAATATTTGTAGGACTACCAGGTAGAAGAGAGGTTGACATAGTGCACAGGACAGAAAGGGAGATAATTAGGGCCAAGGGCAGGATGTTACAGAGAAACCCATTTGTGCTCAATATAAAGAACTCTCTAGTCATCAGAGCACAAAAGCTAATTTCATAATGTGGATTTCATTTGTCCAAACAGGTACATTTGTGGATAACAGTAAGCTCCCCACCAATGGAGGTTTCCAAGAAGAGGTTCAATGAGCAGATAGAAGGGGAGGATCAAACCTCCAGAGGGTGTGGGATTATTTGAATTATTCTTTTAACAACAGCTTTGTTAAAATTTAATTTATACAACTCAGTGGTTTTTAATATTTTCACAAAGTTGTATAACCATCACCTTATCTCACTTTAGAACATTTTAATCACCCCAAAATGAAACCCCATCCATACCCATTAGTAGACACTCCTCAGCCCCCCTCCCCAGCCCTAGGTAACCACTAATCTGCTTTCTGTCTCTATAGATTTCCTATTTCAGACATTTAACATAAATGGAAAAATGTGGTCTTTTGGGACTGGATTCTTTCATTTAGCATAATTTTTTCAATTCTCATCCATGTGGTAGCATATGTCAGTACTTCATTCCTTTTTACTATCAAATAATAGGGACTTTCTGATTTGACAGGTGTCTTCCAGCACTGAAACCTCATGCCTGGGCTTAGGACTTAATTTTCCTCCGTGCTTTCACATCACAAAAGGGTTCCTAATCTTCTCTTGTGTACAGTAATTTCAATTTTTACTATTATTTCAAATAACATAATCTTTAATTTTCTAGAATGAGAAAACTGAAGGACAAAAAAGCAGCAACAAAACACCGATCACTAAGTATACTATTGCCACAGCTTTTCTACTCTTCGAAGCACTTTTCCATTTCTTAGCTTGCCAAGGCCAGAGAGTGGGGCTGCTTAGGTTTTGAGTTTCAAGTCATCACCCTGAGGCAAGGACCCTTGGTTATTCTGATGGAGTGGACTTTATCTGAGCAGGATGACACCTTTTACATGACCTCCTCAGGCTCAGGTCCATTTCTTAGCTTGCCAAGGCCAGAGAGTGGGGCTGCTTAGGTTTTGAGTTTCAAGTCATAACCCTGAGGCAAGGACCCTTGGTTATTCTGATGGAGTGGACTTTATCTGAGCAGGATGACACCTTTTACATGACCTCCTCAGGCTCAGAGCCCTAAGGCATAGATCCATTCCAGCAACTTGGAGCCCTACTTACATATCATAGATGCAGTTTGGAGTGAAGGAGTGATTTGCCTTGTGTCCCAAGGAGGCACAGTACTTGGACACGTGGTTATAGGGTGCAGGCACATCAATGACCGTTTCTTCATCGAGGGAGAGAGTGTTCCCATTAAGGGCCCAATCCCTGTTGTCAACCTGCAGAAAACAGGAAAGTGACCATTAGAGAGCCCCTTTCTCCCACAAGCTCAAAGGACATCAGAGATATTAACTCATTTATCCTTAAACTTCATGCTCTGAGTGTTAAGAAAGTGAAAAAACCCAAGGCATCTCTAAGCATGCTGATGGAGCAAACGACATATGTGGGCAGCACCAGGCAGCTCAAATTACGATTTACTGATTTTTCCTCACATTATATGAAAAAAAAGGATTTAAAGTCCCTTATAAAGATGCTCAAAAAATATAATCAGATTACTTGAATTAAAAGTAGATGAAGATGAGGCAAAAGTAAAACAAAGCAAGAATGTCAAATGGAACCAGAAACGTGAGGAATACAAGAATACACTCCAGGAAAGTCCCACACCTGCGCTCAGGCGGGCAAGCAATGTGACCCACAGACAGTCACCAAGGACCAGTGTGCTTTCCTGTCTATACCAGGAATTGCTGTCTACAGGACAACCATCTCCAAGCCACTCCTGACCAACACCCTCCAGGATCTGGTGATGCCGGCAGAACAGCCTTCTGGAGCAAACAGGGTCACATTTTCATACAAAACTGTTGACTCTCAAAGTTTACCGTCTCTCCTGTCTGTACATTACAATTGTGCTTTTATATGTATTTGATATTCACTCAACAGATATTCACTGAGTGTCTACCATGTACCAGACACTGTTCTAGTACAAGGGATACAGCAGTGATCAAAAGGGAAAAAAAATCCTCATGGATCTTAATACTCCAGACTGTCATGTGATACTGATATATGGCACTTGGTACCATATACCTTATGTTGCCATTAGTTGTGTATTCTTCTTATCTCCCCAGTAGGATCTAAATTTTATGAGGGCAAGGAGGGTATCTTATTCATTTATGCAGTACATCATAGTGAGTTTCAGCACAGAGCCCTATTTGAAACCCTACTTGAACTCTGCCATTTCTGTATTTTTGACCTTGGGCAAGGTGTAACCTCTCTAGGCTTCAGTTTCCTTACCTATAAAAGGTTCAAATAAATAATTAACATGTCAAGAATCCCAAAGTCACCATTCATATGCTGAATTTCTTGGACTTTCTGGATTGTAGATGGAGAGGTCTGGCTATTGCGTGGGGACACTGTCTGCCATCACAGCTCAGCATTAGAGCATCGCCATCTTTTGCCTGTGCACCTGCTTTCAATGCATAATAACTTGACTGTTTCATGGCATTTCCCACTTATTGTTCCACAGGAATAAATGAAAACGTGAAGACATGAATGTGGGATATGAACCATCAGCGTGAGTCCCACACACTTAATAAAGAGGGAGATAAGCATGGAGTTCACTGGCTGTGCTAAAAGCATCAAACTTTTGCCTCATGAAGTAGCGGCCTGGCCAGTTAGCTCAGTTGGTTTGGGTGCAGTGTTATAACACCAAGGGGTCAAGAGTTCAGATCAACCAGCTGCCAAGAAAAAACAAACAAAAAAAGAAATGAAGGGACAGAAATTAAAAAGAAAAAAAAAGCATATATGAAGTCTTTGAAATATATCAAAGATTGTGTCATGCAGGTAAGAGGTGATTCTACTCCCTAACTTTCTGTTTTTAATTTTCGGGACAATAGAACCTTTCCTGAAATTAAAAAGAAAAAAAAAGCATATATGAAGTCTTTGAAATATATCAAAGATTGTGTCATACAGGTAAGAGGTGATTCTACTCCCTAACTTTCTGTTTTTAATTTTCGGGACAATAGAACCCTTCCGTCGGGACAATAGAACCTTTCCTGAAGAGATGTAGGCTATTGTATGGCTTTTGCAGAAACAGAAGTAGGGGGCCTTCATATAAATCGCCCTGCCCAAGGTCATAAGTAATTACTGACAGAGTCCAATTTGGTCTCGATCTTTCAGGCATTAGGTACAGTCCAGTACAAAGCAATTACTGTCTCACTGATGGCGTCATCCCACTTTCTATAAAATAGCTGCGGAACTTTAAAAGATCGTATTAAGGCTCAAAATAAAAAGGAGAAAAATATCCAATCAATTTTACAGAAAAGCCAATGTGTTTGTTCCTTTATATTTCTAGTGAATACTAAAGTAAGTAAAGGGACTTTGTTTGAAACAAAGCCCTTTAACCCATCAGGTGGATTTTCCACTTCTACCCCGCTCACCTCTTGGTGTGTAATTCGGACTCCATTATAAAAAGACATTACAGTATTAGGTCCCACTGCTACCTTTGAAAACAGTCCTTCTCCAGCACTGGAAATGAGAGATTCAGCAACATAAACCCTACATAGAAAAAAGAGTTGAATAATAACTTTTTAAGTTTAATATATCATTCCTTGTATCAATCACCAAAAAATCATTATGGCTACTGAATCCAAAATGTTACTTCATGAAAATCCAAAAAAGAAAGAAGGGATGAAGAGAAAGTTAAACCACAATATT